AGTAACGTCAAGCAATCCTTCGGGGATTGATGGGATAGGTTGACCATTTTTTGTCAAGAATTCATTGTCAAGATTCATCCTAAAAGGATGACTTAGAGAATTAAAATCCTTAATCTACCTTCTGGGCAAATAAATATACAAAACAATGAGGGCTATAAATTTAAATATCATATGCCCAAATCTCATGTCAAAGAGTTTCTATAGCAGAAACTAGCATTGTAAACAAGTCATAACCTTTAACTATTATCACATGCAAGCTAAGGTTTAGTAACGACAGGTGCAACCTAACCATATTGAGAATTCATGATATTGCCACACTTATAAGTTGGGTGATGAATCTCAATAGCTATGGCCTATAGCAAATAATTAATTGCCAACAAGAAATAACAAAAGCTCTTATATGAGCCTAATCAAGAGATTATATGCTAAAAGTTGTCAATTAAAGAGAAGCATGCAATAGCATGTGATATAATTGTCCCTTATGTCTTGGACACCAAACTCTCAATTGAGTCATGCACATCCATTAAATAAAGAGTATCATGTTTGGTACACACAAGGCATGACATGACAAGAGATATTGTTTCTTAATTCATAAATTAGAAAAATGAGAGAAGTACCGTTCACCGAAGAATAATGAGCACATGTTCGCTCCCGGGCCCATTCATTCCTATTTCGGGGATTCAAAAATAGCACTTTTCCAAGCAAGCTCTCATTTTATTTCATAATTTCATATCAACATGAAAACATCACAAAATAGCAAGATATACAAGCTGAAAACGGCAGAAACTTTTCAGAATTTTGACTTGGATTGCAGAATTTTCTGGGGGAAAACGGTAACACATTTTGACACAAAATTTGGCAGATATGTAGTTCAGTAAGTCTAGAACGTACATAAAAATTTTCATGTCAATCCAAGGTGTGGAAGTATTTTTTCTGAAATTTTTCACAACATTGCTCCACGCAGAAAAATAATTGGCAGCACACTGCCAAAACTTTACAATTTTTTTCTGGAATAACAAAAACATATTTTTAACAAAATATTTTTAGAGACATCAAATATCACGAGTCTAGGTTCTCCAGAAAAAAAATTTCATGCCAAAAGGAGTTCAACAAGTATTTTTCACGAATTTAATTTTCAAACTGCGCCGGTCAGAATTTTCAGGCAGTGATTATTATGTGTAAAAAAAACAATTACAATTTGTTTGCTTCAGGCAAACCAGCATGATGTGAGTCAATTTTGACTTTCAGAGAGTAGCATATAGCATTAGAAATAGAAGTTGCAAACTTCATTCATGAGTCATTAGTCACTTTAAAGATCAATCCACATTCAGGGTCTTCCAGACCTTATTGAAAATAGCCCAATGACAGAACACTTAGCATAATTTTTTCATGTACTACTACTGGAGTACAATACAACTATGGACAATGAGACCCGCATTCACCAAATATCCTTCAGGGATTCACTTAGGGTCTATAGATCATTTTAGATCAAATATCTATAATCGAGGCCTTGAGGCAAGATAACGGGTGTCTGATAAAATTAGTGCTCTTGATTTACCTTCTGGGCAACACTATATTAAAAATTTGACACTATTATTTTGTCTAAATGCAAAGATTTGAGATCTTCAATGATCTAGACTCATGACAAATAATCAGCATAACCGAGTACCAACACAATAAATAGACTTTTGAACTCGGATTATATAAATTATCATAGTGCAATTATTGTATAATTAGTACTAAGGATTTGCCTTCCGGGCAAAGCTATATTTGAAAAACAGCCTATAGCTTCATGTATAAAGTGTGAGATACATCTTAATATTCATGACATATATCATATAATTGACAGTTTCATCAGATGCAAATTTAGCATATATTCAAAATTATTTGAAAGAATGAATACCAGTCAATGTGTCTTTGTTATGTTGTTTGGTAACTCACGAATCAGATTGGCTATATTTCATCAGTTCTTCTTAGAACTTGTTGAGAATTGATACTGATGAAGCCAGAGCTGCACGAGCATTTGATTCCAGTATCAACAATGGATTGCCATTTAATTTTAAGTCTCAATGGCAAAACGTGAATCCGAAATCGGCGAGGACGCCGTTCACTCCCGGCGCTTTCACATGGGAGAAAACAAAGCCGCCTCGTCGTCTCACTCCGCAATTGCTTCCTAGAATCGCGGTTCGCTTCGTGGATTTAATAATGCACTGAATCTATGACTACATATCTACTGCATATAAAGAATAGACGAGTACGCTGCTTTAGGGGTACGACAGTAGATATGCATATAAAAAGCTTTCATAAATTCAATAGACATGTATGCATATAAAAAAAATATGCTAATACTTATCTCATGTATGCTACTGGTTTTGCTCATTGATCGTCAGAAGGTGTTTTTTTTTTTTTTTTTTTTTTCGCCTCCTCGATCTCAACCAGATCATCTTCAGGCTCCATACTTCAACAACTAACAACATTGGATCAACCCTAACTGAAGAGATTCAAGGTTGAGAAAATAACTTCTGAGGCATTGTTGTATGTATGATCTGATCGATCTCTTAAGTTCTTCCAAAACCCTTCGATGATCGGCGTCACGCAGGCACATGCACAAACATCTGCCACCAACAGCCTCCACAGATTGTGACGGAACCCCACCGAACCGGAGCTAGGGTTGTAGTAGAGGTTAGTCGAACTGGGTTCGACCTATCTGAGTGCGAAGCCCCTGCCTCTCGAAGATCATCTCTGTTGTTTGTTTCTCTGTTCGCTGGTTGCGCACCTCCACCTTGTGAACCACAGGCGCCCGGTCATCCATCTGACCATCAACACTCAATCTCAGAGAGACATCGACTCCATCCCTTGCATCCGATCGAAGATCGGAAGTCGCGATCGTCATGAAAACCGCCGTCGACGCAAACTGGGAATATTGCGAGAAGTCTCCAGTTGCGTTCGATCAATAGTTTGTGGTCGACATTCGCAAAGCAAGAAACCATCGTCGGTGTCAGTATGTAATTATAACCTGCGCGACGTAAAGACTCCAAGACCTGTTGAGTCGCCTATTCATCAATCGCCAGAATATCAGTGTGATCATGGCGTATCGTTCAGATTCCGGCCGCCGATGGCATCTTCTTCTCCAAGTATGTAGAGCAAAGTACTGATAACGTGTTAGAAAATCATAGAAATTGCAATAAACAAGAAGAAGAATTATACAGAGAATAGAGAGGGAAAAACTCAGGATCTTCTCATTCATCAGTCTTTCTTATACAAAGATATCTATCTGTTATAACAAGTTGAAGATAATAAAAATTAATAAAAATCAATAGTAGAATGATCATTCCTATAGTTAACTCCAAGGGTGTGTTTGGTTCATAGGTGTACACACTAAGAATGAGAATCAAAATCATGTTTGCTTAACAACTTTTTAAAATATAACTATGTGAATTGATTACCCTTTCAATTAAAAACATCATTCCTTAATTAAAAATATGTATCATTTCATCTCACTGGTAATATGATTTTTAAGTTTGGATTAATATGTTAGAAACATCTCTCCAATGAGTTTGAGAAAAAAATTGATTTTTTTTTTTTTTAAATATACGCCAAACACACACGCTCTCAAGGGTATATGATATGAAGATGAACACAAGTGTACAATAGAACAATCTTGCAACTAATTTCCGGTCGAGAGACGAGTATCCTGTTTCGGGGTTGGACCATTTTTGCTTAAACACGTCATACAGCTCATCCTGGTGGTTGAATACAACGACTGGTGGAGCATTGTGGCGGAGACGCCGGAGAACAAAGCAGAAACACCATCCGTCTGGAAAAATCAGCACCCCGCAGAAATGGGTCCCGAAATCACCATTTGAATTTCATCATCATATTCAAAAAATTATACAATCCTATTACTGAAAGAAGAAATAGATATTGAAAGGTGAAGAAGATAATCAGTTTCAACTTTCTATATAAAAACACCATTACAACTTGCATTTCATATTCATATCCTATACACTTGAGAGCCGCAAGTACCACTTTCATTTGACATATATTTAAAAAAAAAAAAAAACACTTTCCAAATTTTTTCTCAAACTCATTTGAAATAGCGTTTCTAATAAGAAACATATTGTCTCAAATAAATTTTTCCTTAAATTATACATTTTTTAAAACTTCCATATTTTTGTCCGCAAATTATGCTGTGCAACCGAATGCACCATGCGCATGGTGCATTCGGTCCAAAACGACGTCGTTTTAGTTAAAAAAAAAAAGCGCGCGTCCCACTTAAAAAAGAAATCAGGTTCGATTCCCGGCAATAGCATTTTTATATATCCATAAATTCATAACTATATATGCATAAATTCATAACTATATATCCACAAATTCATAACTATATATCCACAGTGAATAAATGAAGTAAAAATCCACAACTATATATCCATAGTGAATGAATGAAGTAAAAATCTATAATGAATGAACTAAATATCCACAATGATTAAACTAAATATCCACAATGAATGAACTAAATATCCATAAATTCATAACTATATATCCAGAAATTCATAACTATATATGAATATATCCATAAATTCATAACTATATACCCACAGTGAATGAATGAAGTAAATATCTACAATGAATGAACTAAATATCCACAATGAATGAATTAAATATCCATAAAATCATAACTATATATCCAGAAATTCATAACTATATATCTACAATAATGCTATTATCGAGAATCGAACCTGAATTTTTTTTTTTTTAAGTGAGACGCGCATTTTTAGTCAAAACAACATCGTTTTGGATCATATGCACCATGCGCATGGTGCATTCGGTTGCACAGCATAACTATTGATTTTTGTCATTGCCTTTTCTTTCCTTCTCATTTCAGTATTTTTGCCATCCAATTACCCCTTAAGTAAAGCCAAAGCCCAAAACAGGATTTTCCTTTTCTTCTTATAATTTAATTTGGATCCCTTATAATCCCTTTATCGTGCAGGCAATTTACAAACACCTAGATGATCTGGAAACTGCGTTGACTGACGCGTCAACGACCGAAGCTTTTCCGTTGTATCCTCTTGTCCTTCCTCTCACTTTCTTTCAAATTTGCAATCGCTTTTATTATTTTATTTTTATTATAATAACTCACGTATCTCAGCTACAACTATTTTCTTCATCTTACAAAATCCGGCCAATCTTTATCAAGGTATGTATGCTTTCATGTTACTTACAGTGTTTATTGATCATGTTTTGACTATAGATTATCCTTTTACTATGATTTCTGGTTAGGTTTCTGTTCTCAATCTCTGATAAAGTTTGCTGATTTGAATGCTGGCTGTAGTTAGAGAATTCTAGTCATTTTCCTCCAGTTTTTTTAGGTATATAATTTTCAGGCTTCTTTAATTTCAAATTGTTTATTTAGTTTCTTTAATCAACAGGCTCCTGTCTCCTTTTTGAGAAACATATATTAGACGCCAAAATGTCTTGAATTCTAAACTGTTGCCAAGAAGAGGGAATATATGAAAATGTGAATTGGTGACTTGGTGTTTAACTGAGCTTTAGATATTAATAACAAACGAACAACAACATGATTTTCAAAAACCTTAACAAACGAACACGAACACTCCAAAATTCTTAACAAACGAACACGAACAACTTCCGTTCGTTTATGTTCGGTTTGTTAACAGCCCTATGGGCAGTTAGAATCAATGACTAAATCGAGAAAAAGCATTACAATCGAGGACTAAATTGTTAAAGCTACTATAGTCGAAGACTAACTTGAGTAAAAACTATAGTCGAGGACTAAATTGGGTATTAAAAGATGTGAAATTACCAAGCTATCTTAACAGAGGACTCAATTGAGTAAAAACCATCAAAGTCGATGACCTAATTAAGCACAAAAATTTGTTTAGGACTAAATCGAGAAAAACCACTATAGTTGATGACTAAATTGGGTATTAACTCTTTTCTTTTCTTCTTATTTTTCTTTTTGGGTGGTTTTCTATTTGTAATTTTGTAATATGAAACTTTTGCAGGTCAAAGCACTTTGCCACCTTGGAGTTCTGATCAATGGTTGCAGTATCATCCCACTATACTTGTCATGTGTATTTGAGTTATCGGGGCACAGACACCTGTTTGGAATTTATTGATCTATTACATAGAGAATTAACACGTTCAGGATTTCAAACATTTAAGAAGCACAATCAACTAGAGAAGGGAAAGATCTGTGGACAAGAATGGAGAAAGGCAGTAAAAGACTCAAGAGTTTCTATAATCGTTTTCTCAATAGACTATGCATATTCAAGAAGGTGCCTCGATGAACTTGTGAACATTCTTGAGCGGAAAAAAAATGCGGGTCATATGATTCTTCCTGTGTTCTACAATGTGGATCCATCCCATGTGAGGAAACAAACAGGATGCTATGCAGATGCATTTCTTAAATATGAAGAGCGGTGTGTGACAGAGATGGGTCAAAAAATGGAGTGCATTGCAAGGGTAAAGAAGTGGAGAGCATCTCTCAAAGAGGCTGCAGACTTAGCAGGGATGGTCCTAGAGGATAGGTAAATTTATGTCATCAAAAAATAGGAATAAGGGTCAAATAGGCCATCGAACTGCACACAATAATGTAATTAGGCCACTGAATCTAAAAAAGCTACAATTATTTTAGGGATCCAATTGAAGGTTTTTTAGGTTCAGTGGCCTAATTGCATTATTGTGTGCAGTTCGATGGCCTATTTGACCCTTATTTCTCAAACAATATAAATCTTTTTGTTTTTTGTTTTTTACTTGTCTTTTGTGGTTTGCATTTCTTTTTACCAGGGATGAATTGAAATTTATTCAAGACATTGTTGAGGAAATCTGGCATAAGTTAAGCCGTTCTATTCTAAATGTTGCCCCTCATCCAGTTGGAATGTATCCTCGTGTAAAGGAAATTAGTCTTTGGTTAGAAGACAGATCTTCGAATTCTCACACTATGATGATATGTGGAGAGGCGGGAATTGGTAAAACCACAATGGCCCGAGCTCTATTCAAACTACACTGTGAAAGATTCGAATATAGCAACTTTCTGGAAAATATCAGTGAGATTACGAACAATAGAAATGGCTTGGTTCATTTACAGAGACATCTTTTGAATATTCTTGAAGAAGATACAGTAGAATTACGTAATGTTGATGAAGGAGTTTCAATAATCCAAGAAGCTTTACGTTACAAAAGATTTCTTATTGTTCTTGATGATGTGGATCAAATAGACGAACTAAATGCAGTACTTGGTGGAAGTGATTGGTTTGCTTCGGGAAGCAAAGTTATTGTGACAAGTAGAAATGAAAACTTGCTAAATCGTGATGGGACAAATTCAATGTATAAAGTGAAGGGATTGGACACCCATGAGTCGCTTAAGCTATTCTGCTGGCACGCTTTTCGTCAAGAATATCCTGTCAAAGGTTACACAGAACAGTCAAAACGACTAGTTCAATACTGCCGAGGACTCCCCTTAGCGCTCCAAGTTCTAGGAACTTCTCTATCTGGTGGAAGTGTAGATTTCTGGGAGAGTAAATTAGAGGAATTGGAAAGGCTATCTAACTGCCACATCCATAGAATCCTTGAAATGAGTTATGAAACTCTTCCAGATGATCATGAAAGGAATTTATTCCTTGATATTGCTTGCTTCTTTGCTGGGAAGGACAAAGATTATACGGTCCAAATTCTCGATGGATGTGATTACTACACTACTGCTGGAATCCAGAATCTCATCGAGAGATGTCTTGTGGCGATTACTCCTGAGAACAAGCTAATCATGCATCAGTTGCTACGAGAAACGGGAAAAGACATTGTCTGCAGAGAATCCATCGCCAATGCTGGGAACCGCAGCAGAATTTGGGAACACAACGATTCCCTAAATGTACTGAGAGAAGAAACTGTATGATTGAGTAATCCCAGACTCCCAGTCGTTCCTATTTTTCCTTATGGTTTTGACTGTTCGTTTACTTATTGCCTCTTATTTCTTATCAGGGAACAGAATTTGTTGAAGGTCTTGTTCTTAAGTTGGATGAATTAAAGGACTATAACGCAGACAAACTTGGAATTAGTTCTAAAAGACCTCATTGCAATGATGTAAGTGATCCATCATCAACTTTGGCTTTTGGGGGTAATTTACCAAAGAGACACTGTCTTGGATTTTGCTCCTGGATTCCTGTAAAATCTGCATTGGCGACAGCAACAATAAGAGGAAATGAAGGAGACCTGACGACCAGAGCCCTTTCGAGGATGCATGATTTAAGATTGCTTGAGCTCTATAATGTGCGGCTTTCTGGAGTCTATGATGGATTCCCGAAGAAGTTAAGGTGGTTGTGCTGGCATGGATTTCAGTTAAATTCCATGCCTAATAGTATACCTCTTGATAACCTTGTTGTCCTTGAAATGCAGAATAGCAGCATGCAACAAATATGGGAAGGAACTAAGGTTTGCTGATTATTCCACCTTATCAACCATCTTTTGACTATCAAGTGGCCCTGTTTGGTAAATAGTTAGCCTATAGGCCAATTTTGACTTATTTGACCACTATTAGCTGTTTGACTTGGTTAAAAAATAAATATGGTCCCGTTTGGTAAATGGCTCTTAGCTAATAGCTGTTAGCTGATTGAGTTAATTAGAGGGTATAACTACTTGATAACATTAGCTGATTGTAGAAAGGTGTTCGGTAGATTAGCTGTTAGCTGATAGTTATTTGGTATAATTTTTTTTTTCAAAAAGCTAATTGAAAAAGTTGCTTTTAGTAGCTTTTTGAATTTTAGCATTTTGGAGTACAAAAACCTAATTAACCAAATACTTATATTGATTTTTAAACCAAGTCAAACAACTAATAATGGTCAATTAAGTCAAAATTGACCTATAGGCTAACTATTTTACTAAACAGGGCTTATAAGTGTTTGGTTAATTAGCTTTTTGTAACTCCAAAATGCTAAAATTCAAAAAGCTACTCAAAGTAACTTTTTCAATTAGCTTTTTGAGAAAAGAAGTTATACCAAACAGCTATTAGCTAATAGCTAATTTACCAAACACCTTTCTACAATCAGCTAATGTTATCAACTAGTTATACCATCTGATTAAGTCAATCAGCTAACAGCCACTTACCAAACTGATGTTTTTCAGAGACTAATTTCATATTTTTCCTCTTTTTAAGTCTCTCTTTTCTCTTACAGTGTCTCAGATCATTGAAGGTTCTTGATGTCAGTCATTCACATTTTCTTCTGAAGACCCCTGACTTTTCTGGACTTCCAAGTCTTGAAAAATTGATTCTTGAAGATTGTACAAGTTTGGTTAAAGTCCATGACTCCATTGGAGGCCTACACAAACTTTCTGTTTTAAATCTAAACGGATGTAGAAGCCTCAGAAAGCTTCCAAAAAGACTTGGAGAATTAAAATCTCTCGAGGTTCTTAAACTCTCCAGATGTTCAGAGCTGGGGTTCGCGAAGTGGACAGATTCCTTTCGAGTAACATACTTCTGGAAGTCAGGCAGTGCCATATTGGAACTCTTGCAACACAACTTAAGAGTATTGGATCTTTCAGACTGCAATCTGACCGAGAAAACTATTCCTAATGATCTCAGTGTTCTTTCCTCCCTACAATATCTAAATCTGAGTAAAAATCCAATGTCTAAACTTCCGGAGAGCATCCGAAGTCTAACTATGTTGCTGTGCCTTATGTTATCCAGCTGCACAAGGCTTCAATTGATACCCAAGCTTCCATCGCGGTTAAGGATTTTGGATGCAAACAGCTGCAGATCACTTGAAAGAATAGCAAATCTTCCGAACTTCTTAAAGTCACTCGACCTGAAATTGGAGGACTGCAGGAACCTTGTCGAGGTTGAAGGAATCTTTATGCTAAAACATATTCAAGAAATGGATGAAATGTTCAACATATGGAGCCTATGCGATATAAAACCTGAAGCCGAAGGATCAGCAGTTGGGGTGGAACTGCACAACAGTCTTACATCTACAACAACTAAAGCCCCTCCCGTTCAGGGACTTTACGAGTTTGGGATATTCAGCATGTTTCTCCCTGGAAGCAAAGTCCCAAGAAAGTTCAACAACAAAAGCATAGGCCCACCAATATCTTTCTCCATACCATCAAGCTGTAGTGTGGAGATGCACGGATTAAATATATGCGTTGTTTACGAACAATGCTCGGAAGAATTGTGTGGTGAAAGTGTTTATATTACAGTGAGCAATAAAAGCAAGGGGATTAAATGGATTTACAGTCCAGTTTTTTCTGCAGTCACGGGACCAAGAAACACAGTGGTATGGTTAAGCCACTGGAAGTTTGGGAATCAGATGGAAAGAGGGGATGAAGTTATTGTTTCACTTAGTGTGAAGTGTGTGGTAAGGGAATTTGGAGTTGAAGTGTCATACACTGAGAGTGAAGAGAAATGGATACAAAAATATTACTCCTCTCATCTTCACCATGCAGTTGATGGGGATTTGTCTGTGTTTGAGATGAACCCAGATGTGTATCTCCTCTCCCTGAAATCCTGAATTCTCAACTATTTTAAACCAGGTTGCACAAGTTTCTGAACTGAGAATGGAGAAAAATGTCTAGCTTGTATAAGTTGAATGCAACTCTACATACATCTATCACACACTGTCACTTTTGGAACTAGTTGTAAAAACAATTCTCTTGTCACTGCATTCCTTACTAAATAAGGTTTTATCTCATGGGGCCGGATCGAAATTCAATGTAATGATCAATGGCGGAGCTACGGAAGAGCTTCCAAATTTTTTATTATTTTTTTTAATAATAGGAAAAATGACATATTTAGTCCCTGAGTTATACTCGTTTGGTTCTTGAGGATGTTTGGATGTAATGAATGCAACTGGCTTTTGTATTGAAAGTTAGTTTAACACCCCAGTTAAGAAATAAAACTCTCTATATATTTCTCTTACTTCTCCTTCAACTACACACACGGTCATATATATACATGCTAAACACACTGTAGAAGACCCTTCACATCTTACTTTACTATCCATGGCCCTTCACATCCCTTTGACTTTTCATATGCCTTAGCCCTTCATATCCTTACTTTATTTACTTCTAACATAGGACTTCACATCTTGAGTCATAACCTTCGAGATCAACACCCATGTCTCGAACCACTTGAACAATCTTCAAACCACGATGTGTCAAATCAGTCCACAGCTCAACTTGTTTCCACGAAGCCAAAATCAGGCCAAACACCACAGTGCACCTGCCACTCACAGCCCACACCGTTATCAATACTGCCTAACACCACAGTGCTCCTGCCTCTCGCACCACAAACCATTATTAGCGCTGCCCAGCAGCAGTGTTTTCCTGTTTTCCTGGTGAACACGAATTGGTTCATCCCGAACCAATTCTTCTTCAACCATCGACCTCCCAATTCTTCTTCAACACAAACTGGCATCCGTGCTGCCCATCACTGCAGCACCCCGGACTGATTCACATTGAACAAGCTGCACTGACTCAACTCATACCAAAATATGCGATTAATCCTATGACTCATAGCCCAAACAACATATAAACTAAACTTAATAAGGCTACAAATTATAAAAAACAACACAAAATAACATAAACCCTACTGCCCAATTATTCTTTCTCCTCTTCTCCAAAAGCCAAACCACCGCCTCCTCCTTTGTATGCAGTGGTGGTAGCAGAAGCAGTAGCCTGCACAAGTAGCAGTTTGACAGCAGGAACAGCAGCAACACAACTGTCACAGACCTGGAGAACACCAAAACCTCTCATGCTTCTCCTAGGTCAACTCTCCTCTTCACGGCGAAACTCCCGATGTGGTCGCCGTCGAAAAAGGTCGCCGGAAAAGGCCTCACGTGACCCCACGCGCCGGCGCGTGGTCACTGGACCTCTGGTCAGCGGCGGCGCATGGAGGCTACGTTGGTCGCTTCGCTTCCTCCGATGGCGTCGCCTCCTTGCGTCGATCAATGCCCAGTCGACTCTGATACCATGGTAAGAAATAAAACTCTCTATATATTTATCTTACTTCTCCTTCAACTACACACACACTGCCATATATATACATGCTAAACACATTGTAGAAGACCCTTCACATCCCTACTTTACTATCCATGGCCCTTCACATCCCTTTGGCTTTTCATATGTCTTGGCCCTTCATATCCCTACTTTATTCACTTCTAACAACCCCCAACCCCCAATGCTTTCTCCTTTTAAGTAGAATTTGGTTGGTGCTTAGATGATTCACAACAACAACAAAAAATGAGGGGTGAAATTCAAAGAAACATTTGACAAATAGGAGTGAGTAGGTTAGGGTAGGAACATGTAACACATTTTGTAATTATAAGACACGTGAAGGAGAGGATATAGAAGTATGCACAATACTAGAAATATACATATACCATTACCAACTCGAAGAGTGTCGTTCCCTGCGTACTCTTTTACTTGTTGTAACAAGGAAAAAAGTTGGAGTGGCATGATAAATGGCACCGTGTCAGGGAACCAGCTTTGAGGGAACGTGGCAGTAGCTAAATACCACAATTGCGCCCACGACCGCGACCTTAGCCTCCTCTATACCACGACCACGACCATAGGGCCATTTGAAAATGTGCTCCAATCGTGAGGCAATTGGTGGTCCATGTTGGGCGACAAGAGCTGTAGCCTGTAGGTGGGCTCCAATGGAACGAGCAGAGGGATGCCGTTCACGTAGATGAACTGATGAGCAATGAGATAATCATTTAGTTGATCAATTGTCACAGATTCCTTAGTGGTTAATGAGGAGATCATTGCACAGTACTCAGGGTAGAGACCTTTAAATAAGTAAAGATTCTGCCCATCTAAATCAATTGGTCGGGTGGCTTTTACAAGTAGTCCAATTAAACATTGGTTTTGCCAAGATAGTGGAACCCCCTTGGCGCAAAGATTGCAGCTAACTAAGGAGACTCAAAAATCATACATGTGAGGTGGATCTAAATGCAATTTCAATAGCTTGCTATAGGGTTTGGGATGTGGCATATCCAACAGCAATATACATAACTTCATCGGACAGAGACGGGATGAACAATGATAGAATAGAAGAATTCTGATAGGTCCAATTTTGGACCGTAGGATTGGCTACAACGGAACCATCCGAGGCTTGAATATAAGAAGTCAAACATGGAAAAAAACCATCAATGTAACCACTGAGATTTTGACTGTGAAGAAAGGGAACAAGTTAGTTTTCAAAAATAAATAATTTGTTTTAGAGAGATAAAGTGATGGGTTGTTTGTAGGGTATTTGTTGGTGTCAGGTGGAGATGTAATATTTAAGATGCTACAAGAGGAGGAGGAGGTTACGTCGGCATCATCGGCCGGTGGCAGTGGTGGTGGTGGCGCGGCATCAACAATGGTATTGACAAGGTTGGCAGGAATGGATCATTTGGTCTATTGATACCAAATGAGAACAATAATTTTGCAAAGAATTTTATTATTGATCAATCATATTTACAGAGTAAATGATAGTATTTATAGGGATACAAGAATTAGTGGGTAGAGTTAGAGTTACAACAACACAGTGAGGAGAAAGAATTCCAAGCTGATAAAATACAAGGTCCTAACAATCCTCGCATTCGCACCCCCCCCCCCCCTTCCCCAGGCCCCTACAACAGTACAGTGAGGAGCCCCAGGCCCCTAGAACAATACAGTGAGGAGAAGGAATTCCAAGCTGATAAAGTGTGACAACCCAAAATATTTATTCCAAATTTCTATATTATAGAGTTTCGAAATAAAATCATTTTATTTCTACGATGATTTATTTCCTAAAATTTTGAGCCAACAGTCTATTTGAGACAAACTCGTAATTTTTATTCTTATCAGTTTTCTATCCTAAATGATTTAATTCTTAAGCCCAAATGTGTTTAATCTATTCCAAATGTTTTGATTGAGCCCAAATGATTTATTTTGAGCCAAGTGTAGTTTATCCTTGTCCAAAATAGTAGGTCCAACAAATATTTCTTGATTTTAATGGTTTACCCAATTATTTTTGACCCAACTTCCAAAAGAGTAGCCTAATATAAGTAAAGAAACCCTACCCTCTTTTCTTCATATTATATAATTGTTGACCGGTTGTGAGTATTATATATATATATATATATATATATATATATATATATATATATATATATATATATATATATATATATATAGACACACACACACACACACATGTGGTTATGTTGGAAAATGAGGAGAACCAAGCAAACCCCTATCTGTCTCTCGTCTCTCCCTTCTTCTCTCGGTTGGCTCGCGTACGGCTTCAGCAGCATCCGACGGCGAGACAAGGTCCATGGACCTTCATCTCCCTTCCCTCTCTGTGGTGGAATCAAGAAGAAGCAGCAGTGAACGGAGAAGCAAAGCAACGACAGCCATGGTGGGCTCTCGGCGGTGGTGGTAGTGCGACGGTAGCTTCGGAATAGTATAGCGGCGACAGAACAAAGGTCCCCCTCCCTCCTCCCTGTTTTCCGGCGACAGGGGCGGTCCGAGTCGGCGACATCCATCCTCGACGGTGAGAAATAACGACGTCGACGGCGGGGCTCGTACAGTGGCGGTGGTTGGTGCGGCTAGGGCTGTGCGTCGGACGGGTTCGGGTGGATCGGATTTCGGTACTAGTCATCCGTTCGGTTTTCAGATTACACAAAGTAATCCCCTATCCGTTTGCTTTTTAGGGTTAAACATGTCGGATATTTCAAAGTCGGATTTCGGACGGTTCATTTCGGATTTCGGACTACATCAGATTTGAATAAATAATTTATAAAAAACTACAAATTAACTAATTAGTAATTACGTAATAAATAAGTAAAACAGCAAAAACTAGTTTAAGGTAAGTTGTAACTTGTTAACTTCTAAGTAGTAACTAGTAACTACTAGTAGTTAACAACTTACAACTTCAAAATCACAACATAAAAGTTAGCCCTAACAGGTAACAAGTTATATAAACTTTACAACTGATTGCATAAACATACTACAAAAATTGATATACAGATCAGCTGTTAAGGCATCATAAAAAAACTAAATGCAACAACAGCAAGTCAGGCAGTCAGCAAGCCATCAACTCAGCACTCCTCATCCTCCTGCTTAAGGTGCAAACTTAAATAACATAAAAAAAAAACTGAAAACTGAAAAGAATCACAGTTTAACACTTTAACATTTTTTGCTGACAAATCCAAATTAGGCTCAGATTGCTGTTTTTTCAAATCATTAAGATTGAGAGAAATTGCTTCTAAAGTTTTGGAACAAAATCCAAAACTTGAGCAACATACCATCCCAAAGTCCTTTGATTCAGATAAAGGTGGAAGCATCATCATAACCCAAAGAAAATTAATAGGTAAAAGAGTAAGGTAGAATCATAATGCTAGGTTACCAGATCAGATTAGCAAAACATGCAACTGCAAACAGGATTCATAAATGAATCAAGGCAAACTGCATAAACTGATTTGGTATTGTTATACATGTAGGCTGTAAAGCTGTAACCTGATGTTCAATCAAGTGGAAGTGGAACTGTGGAAGGGGCCAAGGCACTAAAATGCACTTAGATAATTGAATCATAAGCCAATAAGCCATAACTCATAAGTCATAACAGAATGATAATCTAATCATCTAAGAGAACATAATAACAGCTAAATGTAAAACTGAGAGCAGAATGAATGAACATTACTGCAATGGTTGGTAGGGAAGTTCCAGCACTCCTAACTCCAGTAGGCAACTCTGCAAGTAAAAAACACATATTAAGTATCATCAATAAAATTTTAAATAATGAAACTTATGAAAGTATTTAAGTACTTAATTACCTTTTTCAAGTCTTTCACAATCATCAATATTTTCTTCAATTTGTATTGGTTGATTTGGTAATCTCAACCAATCCTG